GCTTGTGCTCGTGCAGTACGTTTGAAACGCACCGTGTGGGGCAGGTACCGGTACAATAGAACCGCTGAGAGACTTCTTTAGTTTAAGCAGTAGCGTGCGGTCGCTCACTGTGTCATTACAGGACATGATGCCTCCCACTATCGTCCCATTGCTCTTACCAGTGCAGTTTGCAAAGTGATGGAACGTCTGATAAATCGACGTTTAATATGGTATTTAGACACACACAACAGTCTCTCCACTAGTCAATATGCCTTTCATAAGGACCGTTTTGCCACAGACCCCTTACTACGCTTGGATACATATGTTCGTAATGCCTTTGCAAATAACCACTCGGTTATTGCCATATTTTTTGACCTTGAGAAGGCATATGACACAACTTGGAGGTATAATATTGTGGCCCAAGCCCACTCTTAGGCCTCTGAGGCAATCTATCATCCTTCCTTAAGAACTTTTTAACTGACAGACATTTCCGTGTTCAGGTTAATAATGTGCTCTCCCCGGACTTTGTCCAGGCTGAAGGTGTCCCCCAGGGATGTGTTCTGAGCACAACACTTTATCTCCTTTCTATAAATGATTTGCCCTCTAGCCTTCCATCCAATATTTTGGTCATCACTCTACTGCTTGTGCAGGCGCTGACTGTCACCTCATTACAGTTTCTCTCCAGCATGGGGGCGACCGTGTTTCTAATTGGCCACCCCGGGGGTTTTAAATTTTCCAGCCCAAAACTCACCAAATTACTTTCACTAACGCTCTGCATCCCCGATCACCCTTTTGTACCTTTTGGCTAAAGTATCGACGATAGTCAGGTTTTTAGGCCTTCTCTTTTAGGTTATCCGGGAAACCTCACATTATCTCTTGAAGGCAATTGTCACACCCGGGCCCAAAACCTTTTTTAAAACCCTTGCCATCTTTCAGGGGAGCTGATCGTCGAATTTCCCCTTTCACCTACTTTCACCCCTATTTTATCGAAACTGATTATGGTGACCAGACTATTCGCCCCTCTCCTGCTACTTTTCTACCTTTAAATTCCACCCATTAAGAGATTACTTTATGCCTTGGGCTTTTCGCTCTTCTCCTGTTGAGACCTTTTTGCAGAAGCGAATGTTCCATCCTTGTCCGATCGCCGTGATGCCCATCCCTTCATACTGTGTACGCTTTCAGACTCCGCAACCCTTTCCATTTTGAAAGCCCGATATTAGTAGATATTTTTTATTTTTTTTTCACCCCCTGTTTGCTCCCTCCCTTTTCTCTTCGCCTAATTTTCCCTTCATTGCCATTTTCTATGTTATGTAGCATCTCATTTTCCCTACCCCCCTAAGTTTCCAATGTTTTAGTCTGTTCTTTCTCACTGCCTTTTCAAAATCCAACGCCCATGGAGCTTCCCGCTCTCTTTTTCTTTACCTTCCACTCTTTCTCATGCCATCGCAGTGTACCAGTGGCTCAAGCTTCTGACGGTGTCGGATTTTGCAGCATTTTCCGGACAGCGTCGGCAGGACATTTTCTACTTTGCACATTTTTTTGCTGAATTTTTATGCCTTCTTGCAGCACTTATCCTATTCATCTTTGCCTTGTCATCTGTGTGGTTGTTTCAGACCCCCTTAGTGCTTACAGGCTATCAAAAGTTTATACACCCACCCCCCAGTTCCCTATCCAACTTTGTTCACCGTATCTCACCAAGCAAATGATACTGTTTTTTTTGGTCCTGGGGCTGTGATTACAGGCAATGAAAAGGCAACCCCCTGTCATTGCAGTAAATCCTTCCGTTTCATATAGAGGGTTCCATTCCCTGACTATTTTTCTGTTATAGCACCCATTTACCCCATTGGGCAAAAACGTTGGGCTGCTCGCTCAATAAAAAAACTTCGTTTTTGTTAAACCGATATAGGTTTCGGTCGTTTCTGTCATCATGTCAGATTGGGAACTATCTCCTCCCGCCTTCGATTGGCCACACCGTCTTATATGGTATCTCGTGGAGAGGCGCCCTGCTCCTCTCTGTGAGACTTGTACATTCCAAATTTGGGACCACATCTGTTTAATCCCACTCTACAAAGAGATGCAGAATTTACCCCCAATGTCATCTTCGCTCGCTGCTCTCTCTTTACCTTCCCTCTTGCGATGGGCCCCCCTTTCATCGGGCTCTCTCATTTACTTTTTGACAACAACTGACTTTCACACAAAATTGTTGATGCCTTTGCACTCCCCCCAGTCCTTTTTTACCTCGGTTCTTGCTAACCCCTACCCCCGTACTATCCCCGCCCCGCTTTTTCTGTAACCATTATCATCCCCCCCCCCTTTTGCCGCCCCCAAAAACCCCTTTCTTCCTTCCCCGCCCCGCACGTGTATAGCCCTTATTTTTTAGCACTTTTGATTTAAAAAAAAAATTGCCCGCCATGATGGTGCAGAAAAGTTCCCAGCCGAGCTGATGAAATTTATTTCTGAAAGGGGCTATACACCAGAGCAAGCGTATAATGCCAACGAGACAATTATTCTGGAAAAAGATGCCATCTAGAATTTACATCAGCAAGCAAGAGGGAAGCATTGCTAATTTCATGGCTGTGAAAGATCCTTCCAGCTTGCTGCTGTGATCTTAGTGTAGCCGATGCTTATTTATCACCTCGAGAATCCCTGTGCTTTAAAAGGTAGAGACAAAAGCACGTTGACAGCATGTGTGACTAAGGCTTTCTTAATTAAGTGGTTCAGGTATTATTTTATCCCTGAAGTTAGGTTGTACTTGTTATTGAATAATCTTGCATTTGGTGTTCTCCTCCTTGATTATTATCATAGGCATCCTCAACTGGAGAATGTGGAGCTAGATGTGAAGATTGTCTTTTTACCCCAAAATATAACACCCTTGATACAACAACTAGATCAAGGAGTTATTAAAACATTTAAGTGCCACTACACACACATGGTCATGTAGAAACTAGTGGCAGCAATGGATGACACTTCCTGGAGTGCCAGAGTTCTGGTACAAATTTAGCACTGGAGATCCAATAGCCTATGTTAGATTTGCATGGGATCAAGTTCCCAAGTCAGCAATAAATGCAGGCTGGAGAAAAGTTTGGCGTAATGTGGTAAATAATTTTACAGGATTTCCCTCAGTAGAGTCAGATTCAGGAAACTGTTGATCTGGCAAGGAGAGTACCAGGTGAAGGATCTGAAGATATACACCCAGAGGACATAAATGAACTCCAAGATGATGAAGATGAACAAACTACATAGGAACTGTTGCAGGAATTTAATTCCCAAATCATTTCATTTTACAGTGTATTATCATTGATAATGTTAGGTAAGAAAAACTATCAGTTTTCGATTCACTGTGAAATGAAAAAATATTTGTTTGGCTTTTGTGGGGGTGTGAGGAGTGCAACCCATGTGTTGTTCAGTTTAAGTTGCAGAAATCATTTTTAGTTTGATTTTTGTGAACTGTGGCCATTGACTGTATTTTTATTAGTCCATGAGTAAATACACTGTTCCAGTCCAAAGACTTGTTCCTGAATGATCAAAGGACTATCTATTTATACATTCATAAATATTGTTAACTGGTAAGTGGTCAGTAATGTACATCTCAGTCAGTGGGATCAGTGTCATTCCATAGATCTACTCATAATTCATAGCTCCCTCAAATTTGCTGTTAGTGGGGAAAGTTTTTAGCCTAGACGTAAGAGAATGGGTCTGTGTTTTGGTTGTTTACAGCCTAAAAAGTTGCCCTTTGGTTGTTTACAGTATAAAAAATTGCCCTGCCCCACACAATGTATGATGGGAACATCTAACCTCTGACCATGACTATAGGTCAAAATAGCATTTTTAGGGTGGTTTTATTAGCTTTTTTTGTGGTGCCAATAGATAAATAGGTTTAATTAAGATGGAAAATGCCCAGAAAGGCATCAATGCAGCACAAACAGCTGATTTTAGATGATATTCTTAGAAGGGTTGGGCCCCCTACCCCCTCCCCAATCAGTTTTATGGGTTTTTACCAGGTCTGCTGCATTTATTGGGATGACTACACCATGACCAAACATTCTTGGCTATAGTTTATTAGCCATGAAATGGGGAGAACATTGGTTTTTTGGTGTATGATGATGAATTCAAAATGGAGAGCAAGTGTTATTTAAGAGAGGCCAGAGGAAGTAATTAATGAACAAAAGGAATTTGTTGAAAATAGTGTACAACTGGTTAAATTACTGACTTTTGCATGTTTAATATGGTTGGTCTGATGGTTGAATCGACAGTTTTTTGCAACCATTGGGTAGTGCGGAAGGCAAAAGTAGCCATGAGTTGGGTTGGTTTGATCACAGAGATCAAACTAGACCTTGAGGTGGGGAAACTTTTTAAGTAAAATGTTTCCTGACGTGTAACCTGCACCTGCGTAATTTCATAAGTACAGCATTACATTACATTTTGCACTTTGGCATCATTACTTCTACAAAAAGATTCTCTTATCATTTTAGAAGATAGTTATTTTTATTTTTTCAAAAGGCATCACAGAAGGGGGCTTTTAATTTGGGGTCTGTTAATGGTTTAAAGGTTTAACATCATCCTGAATTTGATGTCAGATTTGAATATGTAACAATATTAAAAAAATTTAATATATCAGTTGAACCTTATACTACCAGCTTATTCAGTGGCTACCTCCCAGTTGTAATGTAATCCATGTGTTCTTGTACAAAAAAATTATTCGTGCTGAATTTTCACAAAAATGTAAATTACATGTTACAATCTGTACTGTAGTGTGTAAGTATATACTAATCTGCCTGTAATGCCATATATAACAAGGGGGTTTTAAAATGTATACAGTTTGTAGTTTGTAATTCCAGAGCCAGCTTCTAGAAAATAAAATTTGAATCACTTTGAGAATTTGTATTGCGGTCATATTAAAACCGTGTTTTTCAAGTGAACTATTTTTAAGATAAGACGTCTTAATATAAGATAAAAATATATCTTCTTTTAAAGATAGATGTATTTATTCAATGAATTAAGAGTGTGATTACTTCCCATAGGCCATATTTTGAGCTGAAATCAGCAGTGAACCAGCAGCTTGAGGCCCAGAAGCAACAGGTGCGACAGTTAGAGGAGAGTGTTGCTAGAGCCAAGGTGACCTATGCTCAAGCACTCTCCAACCTGGAGACCATCTCTGATGAAATTCATCGTGTAAGTTGACGAGTACTCTTCAAGTGGGTTCATGCCAATGTTTTATATAGTAATCCTTCTAGGTTATTAAATACTGACATTTCTCACAATTTTACTATGAATTTCCTCCCCAAAATATCAAACATTGAAGGTTTTGTTGGTCATTCACATGTGCAATATTCAGGTATAATTTTTCCTATATTTTTCACTGAGTGCAGTAGTATATTATATGACTATTCAGTACATATATGGTATGATTGTATTTTGTTGGAAAAAATAAGTTGTGGTTATTGCACAGTATTATGAGATTTATTTTGACCAAATGCATTTATATTCAGTGTATGATCATTTCTTGTTTATGGGGGTATGCTCTTATTTTATGAAATCAAGAATTACTGATTTTTTCATTTAGGATGTAGCAAGGTGTTAGTATATAGTTTGAAGTACTGTACAGGGTTAATTTTTTAATTTTTCTCAGTTTTCATTAATGTACATTGCAGTATCATAAGTATCAAAGTATGCTATTCAGTAATGTACTTAATTTTATGTATGGTACTACCAGTACTACAGATTAGAGTTATGATGACTGCACTTCTGAGAAAACAGCCATTGAATGAATTATGGGGAATGTTTTTCCCTTCATTGGGTCATTCTACCTTGGTGGAAAATTGACTACGATAAAAAAAAAAATGGTATTATAATGTGGTTTTACGTAATTGATGACTATTTTTAGATTGTGGGTTTACTGGGACCTGAGGACTTCCTCTACTGTCACTGTGGAAAAATTTCTGTATGTGGAAGCTTGTGTGCAGTTTTGCACTCATTTAATTAAATACTTTATTTACTGTGACCACCTTATAGCTACCCATCCCTGACCAAACCCACGAGCAGTACCCAAGTTGGGGCAAGGGGGGCTAAAGCCCCTATAATTCCATCAGCCTCCAAATAAAAAATAATTTCAAGATGAGTCCCCTATCACCCCTTCCCTTCCAACCAGATTACCACTCCTAAGCACCTCCTTTACAAAACTTTTGGAACTGACCCTCATCAGTTTTAATTACCTCCCAGTTCCAAGGTGCTGTATGATCTCTTCTGGTTTAGTGTTTCACTCTATGATGATAATGTGGATAAGAGTACAGTAGGACTGTAAGACTGTGGCCCAAAAATAACCCTTAATTTTGCAGAGGTAGTGATGGTGAAAGTTATTCAAAATCTATGAAAAGCCATGAAGTGCTTTCCATCAGTGAAAAAGTGATAATTCTTCACTTATTGTGTGTAATTTATCAGTTGAACTTTATAATAGTTATGTATTTAAATGAAAAAGACTCGTTTATGGGGTTCGCTACTATCCGAGGTTTCAGTATCCATGGCAGGTCCTCGAAACTTATTCCCTACGGATACGGGAGTCCTACTGTATTGTATTGTATGATATAAAAAAGGTCTTTTGTATATTCAATCTTTGTATTGTTGTATTTGTTGTGCACTAAACGTCCAATAAAACAGACCCCATAAAGCAGATGTCGGTTAAAATGGACAAAAAAATCTGGCCGGACAATGGCTCAACTTGTACATTTAATGGGGTGTCCAATTCAAACATGAAGTGGACCAAATCCACTATATCAGACGGCTATTTGGTCCAGTCATTCATTCGATGAAATGGACCGACTCCACTTAATTGCAAGTTTGTACGATCTAAGGTTTGTCCTGGGTGTATCCACTTTCATTGTTCGTGGGCAAAAGGGCCAGTGACTGCTCATGTCAGTGTGTTATTGTCTGCATGCACTCTCGTCATCATTATTTCATCTTCAGTTTTCCCCTGGATTTACTGTTTTTTTTTTAGTCAATTTATTAAAGTACCAAGTACAGTGTTATTAACAGTGGCCTAATGCAAGTGATGGGGCAGTGAAGAAGCATATAACCTTAATTGTTAAGCTGAAACTTGAATTAATAAGAAAGCTGGAGGCTAGCATTTCAGTGGCCTGGGTGTGTGAGGAGTATGGTGTAGGAAAACAGTGTCTGAATTTTGTAGAAGCAAGGAAAATTTTACAGTATGTTATGCAGTACAGTGTAGCTGCTAGCCTAGCCTTCAGTTACTCCTAGAAAGTGATGAAAACAGTTCCAGATATGCAGTGCATAAATGGTGTTAATGTTTGTTCTGTTGCTCATCAGTGTGCCAGACAAATTAAGCTGGATTTATTGTTTAAATGACTCATGAGCCATCTTCCAGTAAGCCTGAGCCATCTATGTCTCCTCCATCTACATCTTCCTCACCATCTACCTGTCTGTCTCCCGCACCATCTGCAATGTTAAGCTCCACTGATTCAGAATAAGTAATTCTGGGTCACCAGTAGATGACATAAGAATACTGTACTAAATTGTACAATTGTAAGCTCTATCCAACAGAAAAGATAAGAAAAATTAGTGTACTGTAGTTTATTGTACTGTACTGCAATATACTTTTAACCCATTTTGTTTGTCAGGTACATGTACTGGTAATACTCTGTTGTACTCTAGTTTATTCTTAGTATGTCCATTAGTTCATCAGTATAGCAGACTAAGTATGCTTCTTTTGGTGTTTGTGTATGTCTTGTAGTCGATTGATAAAGCATCTTACATCCTCTTAATTGGAATGTTTAATGTAATGGAATTTTTGGTAAATCAGTCATGCCCTATTAATCTGTTTTATCAGATGTTTACTGTACTTGTACTGTATTTTGTTAAAATGTTCTTATGAGAAATTTGTGGCAGTTTGTCAAGCGATTCAAGTGTTAATCATAAATTAATAACATTAAAGATGTTTTGCACTTCATTTTGTAGACTTGACTCTTACAGTTGTCACATACTTAAATACTCACTAAGCTTTCTAATGTCTCCTCTGCTTTCTGTAGTTCCTTGCTTTGAGTCCTTCACCAGCATCAAGGGTGCTGTCTCCTGTCTTATTTTAGTGTACTGTATTCTTGTACGAGTTGTGATAAAAGTTCACCAGTGATACCCTATTACCTCACACTCCTTACTACATACGTAAACAAACAATTACTAGCCCTTAATGCCTTTCAGTGTGTAGAATTTGGTCTCAGTCCAAACTCCCTACTTTTTGATTACTTTAATTTTCTTGTTGCAAATGTCTCAACTCCTCTTCAAAGGGAGCTCCTTGGCATGGTGAAGAGGCTCTTGGTCTGAGGAATTAGACCTGTCGGTCTCCTTCCTCAGACCGAACCTAATTACCCCCCAATCCTCCCTCCCTATCCCATCCTCCCATTTTTCCTTTCCTCCTCCTCCTCCTCCTCCCCACCCCTCCCTTTTGCTCTTCCTCTTTTTGACCTTTGGGATTTTTCTCCACAGGCGCGCTAGTTCCTAGGTAGGGGAAAGGATACCGGGGTCCATCCCATTCCGTTGAGGTTCTTGGCATTGGTGTAGTTTGCCGTGGAATCTGGATCGCCTGGGGATGTCCCGATCCCTCTCCTGTATCCCGGAGGGTGGCTTTGGGTGTCTTTCGGGCGACGGGTGTATCTCTGGAAGTCACCTTTCAGATTCCGGGGGTGGTGGCCAAAGGAGGTATGCTTTGTGGCGGATATCCGGCCGCCTTCTCTTGTCCACCGAGGTAGCTCGGCAGATGTGAGGTTGCTATCCCGGATTGCTGGTTTACTGGCATGAAGGGTAGGGTATGGCACGGGTTCCATGCTGCATCTGCGCTACTTGCGGTGCTGAGGTCCTCTTGGGCACGGAGGGAGATTTCTGGCTCTTTCATTCCTCCTAGGGACTATCCCTCCCCGGTCCCCCCTTTTTTTATTCTTTTTTTTTATTTTTATTTTCTTTTCTTTCTTTTTTTTTCTTAAAAACAAAAAGAAAGAAGTAACCTAACCATGGAGTACCCAATCCATGACCCCGCTACCCCAGGGCCCCTTATTGTTACTGCACCCCGTTCTGACCTCGCCTCATCTTTTGGCCACTCTTCGGACATTCCTAAGGCCCCTGTACCTCTTGCTGGTGCTGTTTCGTCACCCGCTTCAGGTGCCGGGGTTTCGACTGACTCCTTCGATTTGTCTGACCTCTGCTCTCCTTTGACTATGCTTCCGGCCTCTCCCTCTATGGTGTGGCGATTTTCAAATCGCCAGCCCCTCCCACGTCGGACCGACTCTAGTCCCACTTCTAAACGCCAACGACAATCTCCTGACGATGTTACTTCGTTACCTTCCCATTCTACTCGGAAAAGACCGACATGTCATGCACCCCCTCTCCACACTGGGTTTCGGACCACACAATGGACAAAAATTCTTTATTTTAAAAACCGCTTCTTCTACCCTTCTTTCCGACCCTAGTATTGGCAAGAGCTCCACCACGTGGTAGAGATATTTCCTTTCAGTTCTTGAGTGGTTGCGCACATCACAGTCCAGAATTCCCCCAGCCAGTCTTTCTTTTCTTTCACTACGTACTTTTTTTTTTTTTTTTTCACTATCGAAAAACTCATTCCCTCAATTCTTGTAGTGGTACTGTTATTCTCCCCATACCATAGCCCCAAAGAATTTCAGACATGGGGCAATAAATTTCTCAAACAGCGGAACCCCAAATCCCCCAATTCTAAAGGGTAGACACTTATTTCTTCCTGCCCGGGGCGGGACAATCCCTTGCAATGTGGTCTTTTAATTTTTTGACAGCCGTAAAACCCCCATCCTCTTTTAGTAGCAGGACATCGGTTACAAGCTGGGAAGGTGACCCCTACCCGCAACATGTGGAATTTGCTGGCGTTTTGGCCCCCCACAAAATATTGCAGATCTATACCCAATGCCCAGTCTGTGGTGCGAGACCATTCTAATACTTTTTTGCAGTCGAACTCCTTTTTCCCTTTAAATTTGTCATAGGCTCCCCCTTCGTACCTAGCAGTTGACGGGTCTACTTAAATGACGGGAAATTCGTTGCCCAAAGGGGCAAAGGCTCCCCTTATACATGGCAGTTTTCATCTCCGCCTCCAAGGGGGCTACCCCCGTGTTTTTTTCTTGTTTTCAAAACATCCCCCCATTTGG